TATTTTACGGGCGCGGGTTTGGGCAACGTAGATTTCGCGGGAGATTTTCTCGCGGGAGTTTTCGGGGTCTTCGCGCAGCCTCTGTAGCTAGCCGGGTGGCCGGTAGCGTGGCAGTTTACGCAGTCCGGTGGATCTGCGCAATCTTTAGGTCGCGTGCATTCGGGCGTGCCGTGGGCACCGGTGCATTTGACGCACCTAGAGTGAGCGAAGCAATTGTTGGCCGTGTGGCCATAATGCTGACAGTTGTGGCACTGTGCCACAACACCTGACTTGCGCGGGGGCTCGATGACTAAGTCACTGAGCCCACAGACCCTCTTCAGGTTGAAGATGGCCTTACCTTCCCGGGTAGGGTCCAGTTCAACCATGACCATGTCCAAAGGGACACGGGTTCTGGGGTGCCTAAGACGTCGCACTGCATGTACGGGGTATCCCTGAGTGCGGATGTCGACTTTAGCCTTATCGACATCCGACTCTTTGGGGACGCCCTTTATTACTACCCGAAGTTTACGCTCTTCGGGCAACGAGTAGGTGTGAAAACCTACCTTATTTTCGCGTAAATACTTGGTTACGCGGCGTAAATCGTCTGTTGTGTCCAGGTATACGCGGATACCGTGGCGTTCAAACCACGAGCATACTTGATGCCACTTTGCCTTTTCTTGAATAATTATTGGAGGCGGTGGCTTAATTTTTCGCTCGGAGGCGATTTCGGGTACCGATTGGGCAGCCGCGGCTGCCTTTTTGGCGGGCGTTGCGGTGGGACGGTTAGATGGGGCGGTCTCGTATTCGGGGTCGCTGTTAGCTGCGGGGTGTTTTTTGCCCTTTTTGCGCGACTTTACGACGGTGAAGCCGTCGGCGTTCGCGTTATCAGCGGGGGTCCGATTGTGAGTCGGGAACGACATCGCGGAAGGGGGCCGAAATTGGTTGCGCGGAAGGCGCGTTGGATTCGTTCGCGGCGGCGGAAGTCGTGGCGACGGGCGTAACTAGTGTCGCAGAAGGCGACTCATTAGCTGGCGCAGAGGGCACCGGAGATGGCGGCGAGGCGACTGCCGGTGAAGCCGGGTTGTCGCTAGCGTATTCGACGACGCGGCGTTTCTCCGCGGCGAAGGTTAGAAAGCTGCGCCACATTTCGGGGCATCGTTCGCGAATGAATTCCTCTAAGAGGGAACCCATAACGGCGCTTGAACCTTTGGGGCTTGCGCCCCGCCGGCGTGTAGTTTCTAAATAGGCCTCCCCACCTTGCGGCAGGGAGGTGTGTGCCTAAAACTAACAACTATTTCACCTGCGCTTTAGGTGCGCTAGGGTGTGTACCTAGCTGTCGCCTATCGCAAAAAGCACACAGTTATTAAATAAAACAATGCCGCCTCTGAGGCGAAAAGTGTGTATGGAATTCTACTTACAGAACAGGAACCTGCCTACGAGCACAACACAACACTAACACTAAACTGCAGCACTGCTTGCACAAAGATTTAATTTGCAACCGAAGTTGCGAGTAGCGTCTAATTCGGGTGGCATGAGCCCTCCGTCTTAGAGAGAGGTCCGTTCCGTACGAGAGCACGAAGCGGAATGGCCTAATACTCCTCATACCAATAAAGTAGCAATGATAAGCCCACAAAAATTTGGGCGGCTCACCATAAAATTTTATTTACCTACTGTGATCTTCGGTATCAATATTTATGATTTTAACGAAATAACATTTATTATTAATTTCAGATGCAAACAGTGGGTCAAACTTGTAGGAAAAAGATTTAGTATATGACATTTCCATTGAAAAGTTACATACATTAACATATATAAGTGGAAACCACATTGACGACAGAGACGACGAACGCGAAGTAATTCATCACAAATAGTGATGCATTGCAAATAGCTCGCCATACTCGCGTAATGGGTAATCAGTATGACATTGCTTTGTAATATTACTCGAGTGATATCATCGGCATTACTTAGATATCTCTAATGTCAAAAATATTAAATATTTGACATATATGGACTCCTGTGCTGCATTAGAATTTGAAAAAATATCGGTTATTGATACGATTTTCGATATTGAATATTTTGTATCAATATATAGGATCCAAATATATCGGAAAATGCATGTTGGCCTTTTTAAGGTCCAAAAAAGTTTAGTTCGATGAATATTTCAGTAATCAATATTTTTACTTATCAAAATGAGTAAAATAAACAAAATGTCTGGTAATGAAATGTTTGTTAATATTGTGTTGTTTTGTCTATTATTTCAATTATTTTAATGAAAATTAAAAATTAAGTTATATTATACTTACCATAACTAAACGTAAAATTAATTTTAACTATCTTTGAATTCAATACAGGGCATTTTTTAGGGGTATTGAAAATTGCATTTAGGGATTATTTTATCTTGATTTTAGGGTCATTTCTTTTTAGTAGTTGGCAGCACTGGTTATGGTAATCATTTCACAAAGAACGATCTGACTGAAACTTGGTCATCCGGATTTTTTTTGAAGTTTTTATTTGCCTATTACAATTTTAATGTGAATATTATAAAATTGAGAATTTTAAGAACAACTTGACATTGGCGTAATTGTGATAACTCACAAAGCAAGCCATTAATAAAAAGAAGAAGAAGAAGAAGACTGAAACTTATATAATCAATTTTAACCTCTCTGTATACAAATATTTCAAAAGCTTGATACATCTAGTCTTCTTACAAAATGTCAACAAGATATAGATTTTTTTGGAAAAGATTAGTACAAGTTACGAAGAACCGTTATTATCCTCCAATTCGATACATGGAAAATTTTTCGTCTGGAAATACCGCAATACCTTGTACGATAGGATTTTCACTATTTACTTGGTTAGGATTTAACAAAAAATTAAATGCCGAAGATGAGCTCATTCATACAATTAAACACTGTGTACTTTTTATTCAAAGAGGGGAACATGATAAAGCGGAGCAACTCCTCCATGTAGCACTAAGGCAAGCTCAACAAATGCAGAATGAACTTGGTATAACATACATTTATGATGTTATGGCAAACCTAGCATTAGATAGACAACAATTAGATAAAGCCAAGAAGTTGTTTATTTTAGTCACTCAAAAAATAATGACTGATGGTGCAAAGGAGGATGATCCTCGTGTTATTCATATAAGTGCTAAACTAGCGCGAATTAGTCATTTAAAAAAGGAGTATGCAGTTGCTAAACTAGGTTATGAGTGGTGTCTACAAAAATTAACAAATTTACCTCAGGTAAATTCTAACGACCTTATGAAACTAATAGCGATGACTGAAGATTGGTACGGCCGCTTGTTGTTAGACTATGAAAACAATGAGCATGGGCTACAATTAATGATTACTTCATTAGAAAAAATGGAAAAATTTGAAGATGTGGAAAAGGAACATATTGTGGTACAGATGAATGACATTGGCACAGTCTGTGATCGTCTTGGTAAATATGACGAGGGAATCAATTACTTACAAAAAGCTATTGAAATGGGTAAACAAATTCCAGACATGAATGAATTAGGAGCAATATATGTCAATTTAGGAAGAATTTACATGAAGAAAAATTTACTAGAAAAAGCAAGAAAATCATGTGGACAAGGGTGGAAGCTTGGTGTCACTGCAAAAAATTATGAAATAAAACAAGAGGCAGAATTATGCTTTAAAGAATTAAGGAATATGACTTCACTTTAGTTCATTAAATTCAAATATTTGAAGCTTAAATGTTGTATATAGCATTCTTTTTTAGTGATTTAAGGTCTGTATAATATATATCATGATTGTAATGGGCAGATGCATCAGTAGAAAACTGGTTTAGAAGTATTAAACTTTCAAGTTTTGTCTGGTGAGTGAGGTAGGTGGGTGCTGCTTTTATAAAGGCTGTCAATGCAAGCCCTCAGGTATTATAGATTTCCATGGGTGGCAATATTCACTTAACATGAACCCTGCTCGCTTGACTCATTTTCACTAGTGATGTGATTCGAGTTTCTCGCATTGATATTGCTACTGACTCAAGTCAATGTATCCCATAGGGAGAGGGCGGACTCAGCCGACTCAAGGAGCAGGAGGCTGATAGATAGGTAATGATAATAATGATGCTGAATCGTGCTGTGATATGTCTACTTGAGTTAAATCGCATCTCAAAATTTTCTTTTTTTTCCATAATATGGGTCACCAATGCTGTTGCATTTACTACATATTTATATGCAGATGAATAATATTACATAACACTTAGTTATTATCAAAGAATTCTCATGCCGCACTTCTTTTATTTGCCGCCATTACAAATAAAACACAACAAATCACTAACAAATCAAAAAGGTCAGGACGCAGGCGAATCGCCGACAGTCAACTAATATAATTAAACAATAATCCCGAGTTAGGTGCTGCATCTCGTTCCAACTCGATGTAAGTCCATGTGTAACTTCGTCAACTCGTGTGGCCCCCGCGTACAACGTCCGGTAACTCGACTCGCACATCATTACTTTTCACATAAAAAGAACTAGGTATATGCCAAAAAAATTATCAAATTATCCTTACACTCCACTCATTTTGATAGAATTTTTTGTGAGTGTTCAAGTGTATTTGAAAATGGTTAAGATTCACAAACTTATTTACAAAAATTTGAAATTTTCAGATTTAGGAAGCTTGTACAGGACAACACCTGTTGGTTCCATTAGTAACAAAGCGCTATGTGATGTGAAGTTGATATGTTATATAAATTAAGCTTCAGCAGTAAACTTTCCTTATATTTTTTTATTATATATTTATTAAAGCACCACTAAAAATTATAATTTGTTTGTTGCATCAATTATATTTCATAAAATTAAAATAAAAAAAAATCACATTTCATTTTATTAATCTTAAATCTCATCTATTACAAAGTGTCTAAGAAAAAAGTAGTGTTAATGAATCTTAGATAAAAGGTAATATCATTTTTTGTTTTTAAATGCATTATAAAAAAAATTATATCACAAATTATTATTAAAGAATTCATATACTAAACTGCAATTGGTGTTATTGGGCACTCTCCTTTGAGACACTAAATGGTTCGGAAACAACTTCAGTATGAGCATCAGCAATAACAACATCTTTAGTGGGACGGTCATTAGCTCCAGTGCTTGTTTTCTCAATTTTACGCACAATATCCTAAAAGTAAAAAAAAAAAATATGTTTATCAATCTGTATATATATAATTTTATTAATATTCAAAAGCAAAATAATTTAGTACTTACCATGCCTTCCAAAACTTTGCCAAACACTACATGTCTGCCGTCAAGCCAGGGAGTTTTAGTAGTAGTGATAAAGAATTGAGATCCATTAGTATCTTTTCCAGCATTAGCCATAGAGAGCCAGCCAGCACCATAGTGACGGAGCTTGAAGTTCTCATCTTCAAAACGTTCGCCATAAATGCTGCGTCCTGTTAAATTTATCGTGATGTAAAATCATTAAAAAAGTGCAATGTATAAATAAAAAAACCAGTCTTAAGAGACAGAAGTCAACTTACCACCAGTACCATCTCCTTTGGTGAAATCACCACCCTGGATCATGAAGTTCTCAATAACCCTGTGGAATTTGCTTCCTTTGTAGCCTTCACCTTCTTCTTTTTGAGCTAATTGGTAGAAATTATCCACTGTCTTAGGTACTGTTTTTCCAAAGAGGCCAATAACAATTGAGCCAGCTTTTTCTCCGCCAATTGTTATATCGAAAGTGACCTGTGAACACAATAAATAGATGACGAGAAGAAATTAAAAAAATGAAGCGATTATAGCTGCTATAATCTATCAAAGAAGTTAATGGTAACAATTTTAACGAGCACTGTACAAAAAAAGTTGTTGCTATCAATAAAGCATAATTTAAGATAACAAAATGTTTTATGTGATGACTGTTACTATAACAAAGGCTATAAACGTAAACTTGAAACGTCATAATAAAAGTTCCCCAACCCGTAGTTATTATTAAATTTTGTTATAAGAGTTTAAATTAGAATGAACTATACAATTTAGAGACAATCTGCACTAAAATTCTACCTTGTGGGTAACCTTAGGGCCTTTAGGAGCTTCTTCGGTCCAGACAGATGAGAAAAGAAATAAGAGGCTAAAAATGGCTGTAATAACACCCATTATGATTAATTTCGTTTTTTTCCTAGCTATCTTAACTAATTATCAAAAAACGAAAATAGTATAAAGATGTTTTTTTTCAATAATTAGGTACTTTTTATTCACTAATCGCTACCGGTTCAACTTGCTGACAAATACCAAGTAAGCAAAATTATCAATATACGTCCGTCGGATAATATAATAAGCGGACGTCCACGTCGTCGTTACAAGTTACAACAATAGGGATGTCGAAAAATATTTCGGATATTTTTATTTTATATATCGATATTTTTAGTCAATATAGAGATCCGATATATCGATACAAAATATTCAATATATAAATCGTTTCAAAAATTATATTTTTTCAAATTCGTATCCGGTACAGAATTCGTAGGCGTCAATTATTTTATATCTTGATGTACCCTTTTTTTGGGACAACGGGGCCTAAAGAGAAAATATTGACACATCGAAACTTTCTAAAAGAAAATATCAATATTGTCTCTTAGATATGTCGTGGCTGATATCGATATTTATATAAATAATGATATACTTTAGCAACACCTTCAAAATGTTCTTCCTTCAGGAAAATGCTTTTTGCATCTAACTAGATATTCATATTAAAAGTATTTTTTTATTCTTAAAGGGACCCATTCACTATCCTGCCTGGCAGTCCGCCGTGCAGGACTGCAAAGCAGGATTTAGCACACACACTACCCTGCATGCCGTCCATCATAGTGTCAGTGTTGTTGTTGTAATAATTATGGATTAACGTGTCTTTTCGAAAAAAAAAAATAGCGATTCTGCTGTTTGTTTAATTTTGAGATAAAAGTTTTTATTAATAAATAACCTTTCCTCACATTATCATACTAATATACATAAAATTTAAGTAATAATTAGGTTGCTTGTCTCAAATTAAACTATTTCAATATAAACTAGTTTTTTAGCTTAGTTTAAGTTATCACATCAGTTGGGCGTCCCGGGATGCACACGTTTTCTTTTTGTTTAAAATAAAGTACTTAGTCCTGTGTAGATTTTTTTCTAACATGAGAATAAAATTTAATTTCTAAAAATATTTCTAAAAAAAAACCTTAATAATTTCTATTGTAAATATTTACTGTCTAAATTTACGAAAAAAACTCCTAAGTTAGCATCCATATTTTCATATAATATAGCGTAATTTTGATAAAGGCTTAGTGCATCTTTTTTTCTTCATATGGCAGCACTGCCGCTATGCAGGACGGCCAAACCACTGACGCTCCTGCGCGTTGGACTGCAAGTGGTGGGTGGAGCTTGCAGGCCCCTTGCAGGATGCAAGGCGCGTCCTGCTCGGTGTTGCCAGAAACTATGCAACACCATTCATGATCCTGCATAGAGCCGCGGACTGCACGGCGGACAGCCAGGCAGGATAGTGAATAGGCCTCTTTATACTTAAGTCAATAGATATTGATAGATAACATTATACTCATAGTCAATAAATATTGGCCAGTCAATATTGGCTTGCAGGCTGTCTTGTGCAATTAGATCCAAAACGCTTTCTGTTTTTAGTGCCAGTCCAGTGCAACCTTCGCGCGCCCTCTAACCCCCTGCAGGCACTTGATCTTGACTTGTCACTTATCGAAGTGTAAACAGTCAAATTAGTTGTCCTAAATATTTATTGATATATTTATTTATTTATTAGTTAGTAAACGGCCGGCAACAAGCAACAAAATTGCACGTATTATTTGATGTTGCTCGTCCATTTCGACATAAAAATACCACTGGAACAGCCACTTGTATTCGCTACGCGCCACTGTCATTGACGAATGTAAATCGGGCTTAATAGACAATACCAATTGTAATAGGTTGCCCAGATTCCTTGTCCATCTATCGACATTACTATCTGGTACCACGCCTGCCCGCGGTGCACTCTGCTGATCAATGAAACAGGTTCTGGCAACCCGCCAACATGCACTGGACCAGCGCGGTGGGTTATGGTCCATACCCCCCGTATGATGATAGTGGACAAAGTAGCACGACTCCTAGTGCCTGGGGCTCCGGCTGTAAGACCGACGTTGACGGGCGTCGGTCGAGCGTTGGAGCCAGGGATGCTAATAATCTCCGGGCGGGATGTTACCGTCATACGACCTCAGACTATTGCACAAGTGACAATCGACGTAGGCTGTCGCTGGTGACATATAATACGCGCACGCTAAGGACAGACGAAAATATAGTTGAGCGGGAAGAGAAAATGAAAGAAGAGAGGGTGACGACACGATGACCTTAAAGTCAGCCAGCTTATTTTACTAGAACGGCGATCAACAGTCCCAGGGTGGAGTCGGGTTCCTCGTTCACAGGTCTCTCTTAAAAAACGTGGTATGTATCACGAGTATGTCGAGCAGGGTGACGTTCCTTATACTCAGCTCTACGCACCGACCTCGGCGCACCCGGATGATGAAGTGGAAGATAGCTTCCACTGAGCTAGCCACATAGGTATGAGGACATCAGTAGGGAAATACATACTTCTAAAACATACTTTACTGTTGTTATGGGAGATTTAAACGCGAAACTAGGCAAGAGAGGCGATGATGAGATGAGAGTGGGGCAATTCGGATATAGGCGAAGAAATCCAAGGGGCCAGAAGTTGGCCAACTTTCTAGAGAAGTAGGAACTCTTTATGATGAACTCCTTCTTCAAGAAGCCGCCTCATAGGAAATGGACCTGGTTGAGTCCCGACGGCTGCACAAAAAATGAGATTGACTTCATTATGTCGACAAAGAGACGAATTTTCAATGATGTCTCCGTGACACACAGGTGCCACTAACAATTTTGTTAGAGGCACAATGAATATTAATGTCCTCCTTGAAAGGTCTCGTTTAATGAAATCCACGCTCCGACCTACTGCAGCCCAGCTGCAGCTTTCAACTCGAGCTCACAAATCGCTTCTCCATCCTGGAGGATTGCGATTCTGTGCAGGGCCGGATTTAGGGGAGGGCAACCGGGGCAACAGGCCCGGGGCCTCCACAAAAGAGGGGCCCCCAAAATAGTAAACAACTTTTCCTTTCATATTTTTTTTCGCGTTTTACTTTTACCTACAGTTCTTTGTACAAACATGACTACATTAAATATTAACAGAAATCAACATAAAATAATTTGGGGCCAAGGAACCTCCACTCCTTTGTTGGCCCGAGGCCTCCAGACCTCTAAATCTGGCCCTGATTCTGTGATCGAGTTCAACAACAGGCTGGTAGAAACTGTCCACGAGGTATGGAAAGCTTTCTTTAGACCCCACCGGAAAGATAGACCTCAAAAACTATTAAATCAAAAACTAGTAAATCCTCGACCTTATGGCAGAACGACGCTCAATGACGCTGCAGACTTCCGAGGACGCTGAAGCATATCGGCAGCTCAATAGATATCGGTAAATTTAATACTAATCTTATTAAAGATACGATAGAGCGGAATAAGGGCTCCAAAGTGTTCGCAAGAGACTTTTCTATTGGGCAGAGTCAGTTGATGAAGCTGAAGACGGAAGACGGCAGGGTAGCGTCTATTGAGTCAAAGGTACTGAGGGAGATCGAAAGGTTCTACGGACAGTTATATACCTCGAGCGCCAAGCCTGTTGACGATTTGCATAAAGTTCCAAGAGCCAAATTAACTCGACACTATACAGAAGATATCCCGGACATCATCTTGTACGAGATTAGGATGTCCCTCAAGCAACTCAAGAACAACAAGGCGGCTGGTGAAGACGGAATTACATCAGAGCTTCTGAAAGTGGATGGAACACCGGTACTGAAGGCCTTCAAAAACTCTTCAATTCCATCCTGTTCGAGGGTACTACGCCCGAAACATGGAACAGAAGCGTGGTGATCCTCTTCTTCAAGATAAGTGACAAAATCTCGCTGAAGAACTACAGACCCATCTCGCTTCTGAGCCATGTTTATAAGCTGTTTTCGAGGATGATCACGAATCGTCTCGCACGCTGGTTTGGTGACTTCCAGCCTCCCGAACAAGCCGTTTTCCGTAAAGGCAAATTATATAAAAGACTGAGAAGTATAATTTGCCACTATGCTTAGCGTTTGTTTACTATGAGAAGAAAGTATTCGATTGGATCGAGACTTGAGCAGTGCTGCAGTCTCTTCAAAGATGCCACATTGACTATCAGTATATCGATCAGTTTTGAAGTTATATCGGTCTGAGTACAGGATCAGAGCACGGAGGCTATTCCGTTGCAGAGGGGAGTAAGGCAAGGAGATATTACATTTCTGAAACTCTTTACTAATGCAATGGAAGACACCTTCAAGCTTCTGGATTGGAAAGGATGTGGTATCAATATCAACGGCGAATACATGCACCTTCGGTTTGCCGATGACATCGTAGTCATGGCAAAGTATTTGGAGGAGCTTAGCACAATGTTCTAAAGCCTCAATAGATTGTCCCAGTGGGTGGGCCTGAAAATGAACATGGACAAGATAAAAGTCATAAAATGTCCATGCTTTTTTTTTGTATGGGAAAATTTGGCAAACGAGCAGATGTTTCCCCTGATATTAAGTGATTACCGTCGCCCATGGACATCTGCCACACCCGAGGGTTACAGATGCGTTGACAACCTTTTGAAAATTGGGCTACGGCTACCTCACTCACCAGACGAAACGCGAATGTATTTGTCATATTTCCACTTTACGCTGTTATTCTGTGAGGTCGTTGTACTTACCCGGACGGGCCTGCCCATTCGTGCAACAGCCAAGGCTGCTGCGTGGCTACGCTAAAATGTGACGCCCACCCCCGAGTTATTGGGAGGCACGCCATTCGAAATTGTTGATGTCTATGTCTATCTGGGATAAATGGTCCAACAAAGCAAATCCAACTTCGAGAAGGAGGTCCATTGGCGAATCCAGCTCCTGGGCTGCGCTCGGGAAATTACGCAGCGTCTTTACGTCCAAAATACCACAGTCCTTAAACACGAAAGTCTTTAATCAGTGCATGCTACCAGCGATGACCTACGAGTTCTTTTACTATGGGCCTCATAAGGAAGCTCGAGGTAGCACAGCGAGCTATGGAAAGGGTAATACTTGGGGTTTCTCTAAGAGATCAAATCAAAAATGAGAAGATCCGTAGAAGAACTAGAGTCACCGACATAGCAGAGCGAGTCGGCAGGCTGAAGTGGCAGTGGCCTGGGCACATAGCTCGAAGAACGTTACTGCCCCTACAGCAAAAGGGGCTGAAAGGTTCTTGAGTGGAGACCACGTGATGGCAAGCGCAACGTAGGAATGCCTTCCACAAGGTGAACGGTCGACTTAGTAAAGATCGCACGGACGCGTTGTATGCAGGCCGCTACCGTCCGGTCGAAATGGAAGTCAATGGGAGAGGTCTATGTTCAGCAGTGGACGTCCTACGGCTGATATGATGATGATTTTCCTTAACCTCACATAAAATTGCGAGAAAATATTTAGATTCTACTTCTTCTGCCAGCAATAATAAGGCACTAAAAAGATTTTCGCCGTCAACGTCATTAGTCGTAGTTGCATTGCTTATACAGGGCAAGCTTAGCTTAGGATGCAGGAGACGTATATTTAACATTAGTCGTAATAAATCACATATTTTCCCATATTATTATCACAAAAAAAATGCCTTTCAAATTACTTCTTGTATTTACTGATGTTTTTGCTTTTAGTCCAGAGACTATTAAAGTTTCATCTGACGCAGAACCGGTGGGCTAGCCAGAACCCACGGGTCAAATTACTTTGTTCATGTACAGGATACGTTTACAATAAAAGTGACAAAAAATAACTAGAATTTTACGAACTATTTGTAAAGCCCGATCCACATTGGCCACGGGCAGAGGCGCGTAGCGAATACAAGTGCGAATACAATGGCCAGTGGTAGGCTGTTAATGCTGGCGAGCAACGTCAAAAATACGTGCAATTTTTTTTGCCTGTTACCGGCCACTGTATTAACTTGACACTACTGTGTAAACAGTCAAGTTAATACATTTAATACAAGTTAGTACAGCGGCAAGTGACGAGTCAAGTGATGGGAGGTTAAGCGGTCGCGTGAGGGGGCAATTTGGGTATAGTTGCAAGGCAGAATGCAAGCCAATTTGACTAGCAACTGTCCGAGTTTACACAACTGTACTTACTGTGATTATTTACTTCACTAAATACTTGACCAGCGTAAATAGGGCTTTTAAAGACAATCACGATAGTCATTAACAGAAAAATGACACTTCATTACATTCTAAAGGTAACACAAAAGCCTCTACCCTCCTAGCCTCGATAGTTTTGTACTATCGATAGCCAGTAAAAGGCTATTGATAGTACAAAATTATCGATAGTTTTTGTCAAAAACTAATTGCAATTGCAATACTATCGATACCATCAATACTATCGCATGCATTACTATCGATAGTATTGCTGTTATCAATAGTATTGATACTTGGAGAGCCATCGATACTATCGGTAGTATCTTGTATCTTGTATTAACTGATGTTTTTGCTTTCAGTCCCGAGACTATTAAAGCTTCATCTGACGCAGAACCGGTGGGCTAGCCAGAACCCACGGGTTTGGGGCCCTCCGCTGTGGGTAGGGCCGCGCATGTGCTCATGCGTGCGATTAACTACGGAATGTCATCTAAGGGCCATCGAGGTTGCGGTGCGAACCGAAACCCCGATGGCCGTCGACTATGTTTTTAGCTAATCGGTGGCTGGGGTCGGTGAGAACCGCCCTGGAACGCGGGTGTACCTTGTGTACGCGTTGTGTTGGTCTCGCCGTGCTCGGAGGCGAGGGCGAACTATTGTGTTTGTTGTTACACTAGCTGTAGGTGTAGTGTTATCCGGCGGGACCCCCGGCGGTGGGTCCGGCGTATCTAAGTCCCCTTCCTCGACCGGGTCGATGAGGACGTTTCGCGGGCGACGCTTGTTGACGTTCGCGTTTGTGTCGGGTTGGTAATTTGCTGCGCTTACCACCAGAGGGTTGGGATGATGTTCGGCTCTATCGAAGAACCGTTTGGTCAGGTCTTTAAAATATTCGCGAATCGTCGGGAGTCTGCAATCGCTGTGCAGATCGACGTTGCGTTGATACCACTGCGCACCGGTTGCGCGGCGGATGAACTTATTTTGTACTATTTGCAGCTTGTACAAGCGAGTAGAGTGCGTGTGGGCGAAGATCATGCATGCGTAGGACATAATAGGTCGTACGCAGGTCTTATATAATAGTAATTTGTGCCTTAAGGGCATTTTACTTTTAGCGTTAGTTAAATTGTGTAGCCGGCCGGAGACGAACGCGGCTCTATTACGAACGTTATTAATGTGCGTAGTAAATGACATACGCGAGTCGAAAGTGACTCCTAAGTATTTGACCTACTATCGGTAGTATCGACAGTATTGACACGTGACAATACTATCGATAGACTACCGATACTATTGCTTTTACCTTAACTATCGATAGATAATCGATTGTCTATCGTTAGCAGACTATCGATATGCAACACTTCACACTCTGGAAGTTTAGTTGTTCTGTGCACACTCCATTTCCACAGACCAGTTTCCGTTTAGGAATTCTTTAGGACATTAGACAATAGACAATATAGATTATAGACATTAGACAACCCATCCACACACAAATAATAAAATAACTATTAACAAACTACCACAAAACAACGAGAGAACGAGAATTACTCGCTGAATAGTTGTGTATTTTTATGGTGTCTTCCCAAATTAGATTAGAAAGTGAGCAGATTTAAACTGATAATTCTCAAGTTTTTAAAATTTTAGAACAGAATTGACTCAATGAAGCACAACTTCTTTTACTAAAAGTCATGTTATGCTTTTCTTCCACTACTTTCGAATCATTTCGTAACATTCAATGATAGTTCTAATAGAAAAATGTATGGAATTAACGGATCTGATTTTCCTCCCGTGACAGAAGACACATTTTGTAAATACGTTTTATATTATGAGATTAATAATTCAAGGTAATTGCTGATGTGTGTCCTTTTAAATCTAATTTTATTTTGTTATTGTATTACACCATTATGTTTTCTTCCAGGGTCCGCATCTGGGATTTGATTATTTTAATACCAAACGCTTTATTTGTTCTATTCTTAGTGGTAAGGTTTAACAAAGCGCAGTTGAAGTTACGTGCTACTAGCAGTCCAATATTCTTGACATTTTATTCTTTGGTGTGGGGCAATGTGATCATCAGCTTGATTAGATGTGCTGTCTCCATGACTATTAATGCGGCTATGCCATTTGGTGGTCTGGTTGATAAGATATTATGGGTTACTGTACGGTTTTTCCTTTTAGCTACAGAAATGAGTGTTGTTATATTTGGATTAGCATTTGGTGAGTTTACTACAGCATGTACTAAATCAATATCAACATTTACATTGTATTTCGAATCTCACTATTTTTTTTTATTACAGGACACATGGACAGTAGAAGTAGCATCAGATATGTATTATTAGCAACATCCTTAATATCACTAGCATTTACCATAACCCAAGGAACACTTGAGATTGTTATGCCAGATGATGTGTTTCACATTGATACAAGAGACTATGATTTATTTGGACATGGTGGAATGCTGTTTTGGTTTACATCATCCTTGGTTTTTGCAGTAATTTACTATATTATTCTCTCATTGCCTTGGATACCCCTTAGAGAATATTTGGCTCTACCAAGTGAGTATTATAATTAATTAAAAAACTGATTTGCATCATAGACCCTTCTGATTTTCCGATTTTTAATTGAAAAAAGTTGTTCATTAAATTTTTTAGATTAGTGTGTACAGATAGGGTTAACCAATTATTAAGTGCTATCAAGTGAGGTTGGTGGCATTGCTGTCAACCTCAAGTAGGATCAAGAAAACTCATTTGTTTGTTCTGCTTAAGCCTTGTTCAATATTCTGTTGTATTATATCTTCTGTATAGGATTAATTGAAGTTATATTTTTGGTGTACAAGGCATCTAATTTAGATAGAAGATCTTATATGCATAATTTTTCTGTATGTTTGTATGTCATTGAACTCCTCCTAAATGGCTACAGGACTATGTCTGTCGGGTCCACTAGTACATATTTATATAAATTTATGGTAAAATTTCAGTAGCCCACTACTTTTATATAGCAAACAAAAGAAAAATTTAAACAACACAACTATGGAGACATATCACTAACTAAGTAATCAATAAAAAAAAATTGATAGTCATCTATACTTTTCGAGAAAAAAACGTAATTAAATCTTGTTATTTTCACTAAGAAAATCCGCCATTTCACTATTGTCAACATTTTCACATTAAAAACCTTCCGTAAAACACTGTCTTGTCCACACTTAAAACATTTAAATTTTTTTCAAGAATTCATGATAAAACAAAAAATTAAAAAGTACTGAACGATTTGATTCCGATTTGAATAAAATTTTATTAAAAAATAAGACTAATACAATAATGTAGGTATATACATATTTGTTTTATATAAATGAGCGGGAAATACTTTTGGTTTTAAATTTGACATACAATTAGGTATCAAAAATAATGATACAGCCAATATCCTTATATCGATTTCGAAACTCTATTACAAATTTTATAAAATCTTTTTGTTATAAGCCCTTAATGTAACCATGGTGTATTATAAACTGATTTAAATTAAATTCGTCTTTACGTAACTCAAGCTGATGGTTTTATATGTGATTTTTAAAAATCTATGATAATAATGGACTAAGTTACATTCAAAATGAGTCACAGATCCGACACAGAGCACCCCGACTCCATGTGGTCTTTGGTCCCTACCCCTAGAGTGAACATAAAAAGGCGGAGCCAGAACCTGAGTGGGTGAAGCGACACTCAGGGGCGACATAGCGAGTGTTCTGGCGAAGCACGTGGGAGAGTCAAACTACAATGAAGTAATAAATTTTGAATATTTCTTATATTTTTTTACATAAAACAACAACCTCCGACGCGAGGTTCTGGCTCCGCCTTTTTATGTTCACTCTAGGGGTAGGGACCACAAGACCACATGTAGTCGGGGTGCTCTGTGTCAGATCTGTGACTCATTTTGAACCTAACTTAATTTACATAAAAATCACAGATAAAACCTATCCTATTGGCTGTTTCATTATTTTTGATGCCTAATTGTATGTCAAATTTAAAACCAAAAGAATTTCCTGCTCATTTATATTAAACAAATATGTTATACCTACATTATTGTATTAGTCTTATTTTTTAATAAAAATTAATTTCAATCGGAATGAAATCGTTCAGTACTTTTTAATTTTTTGTTTTATCATGAATTCTTATAAAAAAAATTTGAATGTTTTAAGTGTGGACAAGACAGTTTTACGGAAGGTTTTTAAATGTGAAAATGTTGACAATAGTAAAATGGTGGATTGTCTTAGTAGAAACAACAAGATTTAATTATGTTTTTTCTCGAAAACTAGAGGTGACTACTGAATTCTACTTGTTGATTAATTCGTTAGTGATATGTCTCTACAGTTCTCTATTGTTTAAATTTTTCTTTTGTTTGCTATATAAAAGTGGGCTGCTGAAATTTTACCTTATATTCTGTATAACTGTTTAATTTATAACATAAATATTATATAGCTTAATTTGTGCAGGTTTCCTCACAATGTTTCCCTCACTACTTCCTTGTAATAAGTCAGCATTTAAAATTAACAATTACATTGGTGTTTGCACCGGGGATCAAGCTTAGGTTGCTTGAGTATATTATATTAAAATTGAACAAGGATGTATATAAATACAGTGTTGTGTTACAACCGCGACATTAAAGGAACACACTTCTAATGTACTTGCCAATAATCATAAAAAAAATATAAACATAAAAAAAATCCATAATTAAAAAAGAATAACTTTCAAACAAACTAATTAAATAAAAAAGAAACAAAATTTGTAACATCCCCTATACAACTACAACTGACTGATTCATTCATAATGTTTACGTTATCGACTCAAAACGACAATGTCGCAGTCACATACATAGTACCTATAAACCTTACAACATGATTGTTTCTTTCTCAGCATGTTTTGTCTCATTTTCAATTCATTCACCCATTCATATGGTTTATGACCTTTACGAATGAACTTCACTCTACAGCTTTATACTTACAGGATACCTTAAAAATTATTTGTTTTAAAAATATTAATAACTTGGTAAATATTAATTTTTAATAAAAATAACTTATGTCAAAAAATTTTAAAGTAAACCTCAATATGTGTTTTAATTTACTGTTGCGGTAATAAAGCCATGTTGTATATATAATCATATTTTTCTACATGAGAATGTGGTAAGGGAGCTGGTGATTGACTTGATGTTAACTGATAACCACTGCATATGCACATTTGCAACACCCGTAGGGTCGCAGATGCGTTGCCACCTTATAAGGAACAGGGTCCTGATTACCTCACTTATCAGACGAAATGCAGCAGTTTAACACTTCCACTTCACGCTGGTCTTCTGTGAGGTCATGGTACGTACCCGAATGGACCTGCCCATTTATGGAACAGCCGAAGCTGTTGCGTGGCGCTACCACGCTATAAATATTTGGGCTAAGATTTTCTATACTACACAATTTAAAGGGTCTAGATATAGTATAAGCAGCAGGAAGGTTTTTGTTTGTGGCAGTCCCATGCACCTACATTGTTTTTCTAACTACATACCAGTTTATAGATGTGAAAAACTTTGTTGGTTTTGTGAAATGTTATTTTTTTAATGTTAAGCAGTTTATTAAACTTTGTAACAAATCAATTTTGTCACTTCTAACTTAAATGCTCTGAACTAATGGTGCATTCAAGTTTAACCCAACTTATAAATTATATTATTATCTGAAGGTTATACTGATGATGCAAAAGATAGTATTTAATTCATATACACTAATTGCTTAAACATACTTAATATAATCCATACATTTTGATTCAAATTAGTATTTGAATTTGACACGTTGAAAGCTTAAAATGTTTAGTTAATCAACACTAATTTTGACTTTCAGCTAAGATCTCATTTTATTTATATATACTGCTGCTAGCACTTTTGGATACCACTCAAGCAGTTGGGGCTGGTCTACTGGCTTGGGGTTCTATGCAGTCAGGCTTATGTGTTGTAGATGTCACAACTTGGATATATTTTTCTCTATATACGCCATTGGTTTACCACACTTTCCTCAGTGAATTTTTCAGGTATTCTTATTTTTTCTATGCAATGACAATTCAGTGGACTATCTTAGTAAATCATTATTTGGATGATTATAGTTTTGTTAATGAGTTGCATGTTATAGACTTGTTTATCAAAGATTAATTGCACCTTATTTGTTTTAGCGTTTCACAGCCTAGCATTATGTTCTCCTACAAGGCTCAAATGGATGAGCCTATGGATGATGATCAAGTATCACTACCACATCAGCAGAGTTTCAGCTCTCTTAAGACAGATTCTGATTACATTTATCAGGTAATAGAGGTCTAAAAAACTTCAGGTAATTCTTCTCAAACAAATTTATATTGCTGATGGTATTAATATTAAAATGCAATAAAACGTTTTTATTTAATTATTCATCTCAAACCTTAAATATGAAAAAAGAAATATAGGTAAAGTTGTCCACTAATCTTTTATCGTAACGGACAGACATGTGTCAGTTACTGAGACTGCTGATGGTCTATGTCATGTTCCAATATGTGTAATCTCAAATGTGGGTACCTTTTACTTTGTAGTCAATTAAAGTTAAATAAGTAAAGGTAGTAGCAGAAGCGACGGACGATTTACGTATTGTGTTAAGCTACCTAGCTAATTACATTATAGTACATACTTAAGGTCTTTTATTATTATTCTGGACATAATAGTGGCGACGAGTATAAAAACTTAGTAAAATGAATCGAAAAGCAGTGAAGTTTTAAGAATTTAAACCAAAAACAAGCAATTGACACAATTATCTTAACCGTTTAAAATTTTGTTTCGAGGCTAATGGCGTTGTATTAGATTCAGCCAACAGAGCTTACTTTTTCAGAAGTTTTTGAGACTCTGCTTGCGTTAATTACTCCAAAACAAGCAAGTGATGTGACATTCAGTGAAATAGAAGTAATTCTAACAAATCATTACAGTCCGAAGCCTAATGAGATATCAGTTTCATTTAAACTTTATAACTGTAATCAAAAACACAGTGAATCTGCGTCTGACTATGTTGCTCATTTGCGTAAACTCAGTTCGGGATGCAATTTCTACGACTTAGAAAGAATGTTACGTGATAGACTTGTTTGCGGCATGTGGGACGAGAAATTACAATATGAATTATTAAAATGTGGCAACTTAAGTTATCAAGATGTGGTACATGCGATGTTGTCAGCTGAACGCTCAGGCCGGGACGTTCGCATGATTCAAGAGCACCTCGGCGCGTTCAGCAGTGGCGCAGCCAAGGCGTCGTCCGAGCCGTGTACTGTTGGATCGGCAACAGTACACGGCTCGGACGAGCCTATGGAAATTAATGCAGTGCGATCAAAAGCAAATTTCTGTTTTTGTTACCGTTGCGGTGACGAACGTACTTGCCAGAAGTTGTGTTTGGTGGCCAAATCAAAATGAGGATATAGAAGCACTGGTTAGATCTTGTTCCAAATGCTTGGAGAATAGGCATATGCCTCCAAGAACCAACCACGAATGGATCACACCGACAAGACCATGGTCGAGAATTCACGTCGATTTTGCAGGACCATATCATAAAAATATTTTTTTAATTATAGTGGATGCCTACTCACGCTGGCCTGAACTATACATGGTGAACAATACTACTTCCTCTACAGTTATTCGACTTCTAAGAACAAAATTTGCTACCCATGGACTCTTTGAGGCGGTACATCATTTGTATCTAATCAAATGAACAGATTCTTGGAGGCTAATAATATCCGGCATATAACTACAGCACCTTACCACCCCACTACGAATGGATTGGCAGAAAGAATGGTCCAAACCTTTCAAAAAAGATAAATTAAGCAAAATGGAAGATTTGGCGTGGGTGGTAAAAATTCCGAATGTACTACTCGGTCTTCGAGTAACACCATGCAGCACTACAAATAAGAGTCCGGCAGAATTATTGATGAAGAGACGTTTACGCACATTACTAGATACAATACATCCAGATACTATACCTCAAGAAAGAATATAAAAACAAATACATAATAATGTTCAAAGAAAAAGCAGAAGCGCTAATGTTGGAGAGGAAATTATGTATCGCAATTATAGTAGTACTGGGCCCAGATAGCTACGAGGCATGGTTATTAGTAAAAGTGGTATTAGAACCGGGCAGTTAAAAACATTGTCAATGAAAACTTCTTTTGTATTTTGACTATAGAATTTTTGGTATCCCAATGTGATATATATTAGATGTATATTGCATTGATTTGTCATTTGTTTTTGTGAATTGGCGGCAATTATAAGTCTTGTTACACCTCAAAATGAATTTAAAAGCGAGCAAATTCACGGCCCATGATTTATTACGACTTTTTTGTGGTCTTATTTAAAAACAAAGCTATGACAGATTTCAATTGGCATTATATAATATATATGATAGTGAAGTCCCATCCTGTGCCAATTTTTACAATTGGTTGTAATGAAATTAAGCGTGGTCGTAGCAATTTCAAATAAGATCTCCCTGAAGGAAATAAATGAATGAATGAAAAACCAAGCGAAATATTAAGAATACATCAATGCTGGGTGTCGCATGATAGAGAAAAATAAGAAAAGACTTTATCCTTGATGGAGCCATTACATTAAAAATTGAATTGAATTGAAGAAATGACCAGCAGATTCAGGCAATCTTAGGTATTGATATGAGTCAAGTACATAAAATACTACATGACCATTTAGACCTTAGGAAGCTTTGTACCAGATGGATTCCCCATACTTTGACCGAGGACCAGAAACGCCTTTGCATGGATGGGTATTACGAAATGTAAGGAAAGTTCTATGGAGGTGCGCCTAATGCTTTATTTGACTTCGTCACAGGTTATGAAAGCTGGATATATTGCTACGAACCTGAAAACAATCTACTCATTGATTTTCTTTTGATGTTTGGCCAGCTAATACAAAGAAAGGAAGAAGTCAAGGAAAAATGATGATTGCCTCGCTCTTTGGTCAGAAAGGTCATTTCACATCAGTTGTGCTTTAAGGAACTTTACTGCATACTGGTATATTAACTGTTGATTGCCTGTTGTCTTGGAAAGGTTTGACAGCAGCGTCCTCGAAGAAGGATCCTTCTTCACTTCCTACTCCACTCGGCAAAATGAACAAAATATTGTATATCATCATGGCAAGTGTCGAGATAATGAGTTATCCGTCATGCAGTTCCGACCGGGCGCCCTGCGACTTTCACGTATTTCCAAGAAGCAAAGATAAACTTTGAGGTATTTGCTAGAGAGCTCTGAAGATGCGTAGAGTGCATTCAAAAATGCCGTAGAAGAGACCCCTAATGTAGAATGGGCCCACTGCTTTTATCAGTGGTTCCATCAAATGTGAAGATGCATAGACAAGAAAGGAGAATACTGCAAACAACAAAAAAAGTATTGGCAACTTTCTACATTTAGAGCTGTTTTGAATGAATAAATGAATGAAATAAACTTTATTGTACACAAACATCGAATATTGAATAATCAACAAAAAATAATACAAAACTGTACAATAGGCGGCCTTATCGCTAAAAAGCGATTTCTTCCAGGCAACTTAGTAAAAGGAGATAGTAAAAACAGAACAGTAGATTTGTACTGTTTTATGATTTTCTAAGAACTTTCAGTGTGATGCATGTATAAGGTGTATCAACAGAAGATAAACTATCAGACCTTATATTGATTTCTTGTTTTTACGCGAATATTATACATATTAAATGAAACTTTGTTACGGATTTTAATTTTGATTTTTAGTTTTCTTAATTTAATTAATATTGTCATAGATCCTGAATTTGGCTCCATTTTTTTACATCATATTTATGCTTATTTGAATATTGTCTTATTTAATTTTAAAATTGGTTTGTTTTATTTAATTTGTACAAAAAATAGGCTATAACTAATTTGTTACCTTTTACTATATTTATAAAATCTCAAAAATAAGTGAACATAACTTTATATATTTTGAATTTTTTGTTGATGTCATTAAGTTCTGTGCTTATATAAAATTAAACTTTTATGTAATGAATATTTAATATACTATTTCTTTCAGCAGAGTAACAGTGTATATGATAGTACACTATTTGAGGCTGGTGGCACTACACCAATGAATCCAGTGTACAGTGCATCATTGCAAAGTCCTGATTCAATAGCATCTGGACAATCCATAGAAATAGGAGCGCCACCATCTGCTTTTCTAACACAGCATATTCCACCAACATAACAATAATGGTATCTCCTCCAATAATCAAAACTTAACACATCCAAAGAAATACCTTATACTTAAAGAATGTTAGATAATCTATAAAGTGGAATAGTGTTTAAACAATGATTGATATAAGGTATGTAATAATTGGAAATACTTTCATATAGGTTACAGTAACATTATGTAAATAAAAAAAAAATTTGCACTTTAACCCCAACCCTACGACTTTTTGTGATATATTGCACCAGTGATAAAATAACCAGACATCTCAATCTGCTTTAATTCGAGTTGTGCAATTGCTCCATCCATGTAACTCATATAACATAGGTAGGTAGGACATTTCTTTATAAATAAGTATATATGTATTCTGTAATTTATTTAAAGCATAAGCACCTACATTATCTATATTAGCCCACATTATATTTTGCCCACAATAAAATTGAAATAATTTAAGGCTGCATTTAGAGTTCAATTAGTTCTCAACCAGCTTAAAATTATTTGAATACCTATTAATAAGACTCCACTATGAGTGCTAGTTGAAGTCTGTGAATATGGCTTATTGGAAGGCTAATTGGAAGTTTTTATAACAGAACAGGTTGCATCAAACTTGACAGTGGTGGGGAAAGGTACTGTGCAGTAATGGATATTACTGTATGGTACCTGACCTATTCACTGAGCCTTTTGAATTACGCTCGATACCTTAATTACTGTAATTTTATGACTTTATTTTATTTTATTAATTAATTTTATCAATTTACAAGTTGTTATAGCTTTTTTTTATTTGTTAAAGATTTTGTTATTTGTTACTATAGTTTTCTTTACATATATTGATAATCGTTTAAAATTTTGTAATTTCCATTTCCTGAACCATGTAATAAGAATATTTGAAAATTTTTCAGTCACAAAATATTGTCTTGCATGAATTTTTCGGTTTCATTGATTGTTCCTGTGCGAGGCTACACTCACAACCGTTACTCAGTTTGACGCGACCTATTCCTTTATTTAAATGAGGCTTTAACGAAAAGTAACGTGTACTACACAAGAAAAAGAAAAAAAAATAATTTTCACTAATTTAACGAAATTGCCTGTATTTCGTGTTTAGATCACTCATATTGTTATTAGCGCCTTATTTTATATGAGTTCTAGCATTTTAGCCTGAACAAAATTGTATTTATATTTATGAACACAGAATTTCTAGGTATAATGTAGGATTTTATTTTTTGTTCCTTTATATGATTATGTCTGCCGATAGACGCTGAACCCGAGAAGCTAATTTTTTCGCGTGGTCTATTGTTAGAATGGAAACTCCTGCAAAACTTTTATAAAGACATTTTACTGTACCTTTGTTTATTTTATTTTGAGCGTTGAGGAAAGTTAACCATTTATACAACACATTGAGGAATTATTAACAGTTTCTGAATTCAAGGACGCCATTAGGTACAGTGTCTTGGACTAAAGCGCAATGCGTAAGCAAAAAATTGTAAGTTTAGTTCCTGAAGCGGATCAAAATTACACATTTTCAACTGTATATTTTTTAACTGTATATTTAATTTTATTTGAAAGCAATACTGTTTTCACTGGGCACCATTATTTTACCAACCAGGGATTGACAGCCACTGTCTTATATTCTTCTTATTTGTTATAAACTGGTGCAAGTTTACAATCACCCATTAACATTTAAAGTACATTTATTTCTGCATTAGTTATACTAATAATTATTAAGAGGTCTTTCTTTGTCCTTCATAAATTTTTTTCTTGGTCTAAATTTTCCATTTTTTTGCTAGTTAATATTTTCGTGACTGTTTCCTATACACCATTTTAAATATGATTTTACTTCACTATTTGCATTACCATTTATCAAATTTGTATATATATATAAATATATATCGGCTTTCTCCTTTCCTGTTCAGTTTTCCCTTCTAGTTCCCTATGCTGCCACTGATTCTTTTCTAAAATTTAAGTTAATGTGGAAATGTATAATTCAACATTAACTTCAAATGGTTTTTAAATTTATATCTGCAAATTATCTATTAAATATTATTGTATAAGTAATAAGTTGTACTTGCACCACCAAAAATATTTTATGTAAATTCATTTCTTTTGTTGAGATATTAGGAGTGCTAACAATGAGTAGTTGTGCCAAGTTTCACCACTAATGGTGTATTTAATTTGTATTTAAACATTTATGTACTGTGATTATTTTGTTGTTATTTTAGAAATATATTATATTTATATTAACATTAATTACAGATCTGATTATTACTACTTATTTTTAATTATTTCTGTATTTTATAATTGTGTCCCTCATGTTTTTATGAATTCTTATGTAGATTGCTTTGACACTTCTATTAAAAGGAGAGTAGCTATTCAAGACATAGATGAAGTTTTAGATTGAGAAATGGGTAAGAGATAGGTGATCTAGGTTAGGGTAGTATTGTAGAGTTGATTTATAAATACATCAGATTTGAATACCACCAACCTGTTAGTTAACATGGTTGATTAAATTAATTTATAAGTTTAATTGTAATAGATTTAGTTATATTTTTTCGTACTGCAAAATATAAAATGTATTTCACAGATAAGCCAGGCTTATTATGTCTAGTCTTAATATATTATATGTCAAATTTTAACTAAACAATTTGCAATCTGGAAACTGATATTATTTTATTTAAGGTTTTATCTTTTGTAAAGTAATGTTTGCTTAATGTGACAAGCTATAATATGTAACAAACTCAGTAGGCTTGAACCAAACTGGTTTGAACCAAAACACAGTGGATTATTAGTCATATGAATGTTTATGGCTACACTGCAACCCTCTAATATTTGATGAAATGTTAGAGGGTTGCAGCCTAGATTGAATCAAAGATTGTCATCAAAGTCTAGATTGAATGTTTTGAGTGCTGGTGGAGTAATAGGTTATTTTACTTGCAATAAAATACTTGTTTTATATTACCTTCTTATAAATGAGCTATATCCTTTTTGGTTCTAATTGGCAGATCATTGCTGTTTAATAATAGCACCGCTTTTGGATGCCCAATGTTGGTTGCTGCCATAATTAATATTAATTTTATTTGGGTCTAATCGAATTATATTTTCTTTAGAATTGTGGCAGACTTGTGTTTTTACTGGTTCTCGTTACCAGTCATAAGCATTACTCTCAATATAATTAGAGATAATAATGCCCTGCAGTATTACAATATATAGATGTTAATTAATTTCCACAAATGAGTTTTTAGTATTGTTGCTTGTCATGAGTGTATCATAAAAAGTGTATATGGCATATGCCAGAAAACCACAATAAACTGATGTAGATACACCTAAAAGTTACAATTTGATGTCAATTCTATTTGCCGTCAATTTTCCTTTTTTATTGTGATATTTCCACATGATGTTATTACCCATGTGATGTGTTTTAATGTAATACTTGGTTGGTGGCGTATATTTTTGTTATATTCTGTCTTAGAAAACTATTAAAGTAACTCTTTTAATGAATTCGGTTTTATTTGTAAAGTAGTTAACCCATGTATCCCTCGATGCATGTAACTGTAACCCATGCATATTCTCAATATACTAGATGTTTCTTTATAGTAACTTTATAACACAGAAAAGTTCGACCTAACAATTAACCATAATAGTTTCCATTAAATTGATATGTTATGTATCAAATATTAATATTCCACTAAATAGGTATCCGGAACTCATTTGAAAAAAGGGGGATTCGATTTTTCTCCTGCCTGAAAGTTATGCACGAAAATTAGAAATACTATGTAAAATAAAAACGCTGTTTTAAAATTGCTGTGGTGTTTGACTGAGGTTGGTTCTAAAAAAAATATCGTTACTTCATTAAAACATGTAGAAAAAGTACGAAAAGATTGTCGCTGCTGTGGGAATCGAACCCACGTCTTCGGCATTCGCGGCCTGACGCTCTAGCTCTTTTTCTACATTTTTTAATGTTCAATCTTAAGTGCAGAGATTAGCACTATAAAAAACTTTAAAATTTATCGTTACTTCAATTAGTGGAGCGAATTCCCGAAATTTCGACTCAAAATAATTTAAAAGTAAAGTAACAGCCTATACATGTCCCACAGCTGGGTAAAGGCCTCCTTTATACAGAGGGTATCAGGGCATAGTGCACCACGCGGCCCCACTGCGGATTGGCGGACTTCACATATCATCGAATTCAAACATCGTGAATTTTTCCTTCAAAACGGAGCACGTGATAAGTCAGCACTTAAAGTTAAAAACTTCATTGGCCGGCACCGGGATCGAAATCAGGTTGCTCGAGTATATTGAATTAAAGGCGAGCGCCCGGACACTGAGCTATCACGGCTTAATAAATAATAATAATAAAGAAATAATTTAATTTTTATTAATATGTAGCTAATGTTTTCGTAATTGCTGGTTGGTCTCGAAAATGGTAGATAAAGTGCATTAAACTAGCAAAATTATTGAGTTTCTTAATTGTCATTACTTCATCTCTCAGCGGAGATTAATAGCGGTTAACTAGGCTCAAAAGTTTACGGCAGAGATCTGTCTATCGGATAAAGCCAATTGACTATGTTGAAGACTGCCAGAGGAGCTATCGTCGTTTTTTTATGTGCGAAGGTGTCAAGCGAGCTGGCGATTCACCTGGTGTTAAGTGATAACCGCCGTCCATTGCAACACCAGTATGGTTGCAGATGCTTTGTCACCTTTTAATTAGGTGGTCCCAGCTACTTCACTCACCAGACGAAACGCAGAAGTATAATGCTTCTACTTCACACCAGCTCTGTAAGGTCGTGGTACTTACTCGGAAGGCTCTGCCCATTCGTGCAGGGCCTTCCGAGTAAGTATTCGTGCTACAGAGTAGACTGTTGCGTGGTCTTACCAAAGTTCTCGAGTAGTCTAAGAGTTTTTGGGTGAGATTGAGAGGTTCTATGGACAGCTGTACACATCGTCGTTAGATCCAAACTCACGTGAGAGTAAAGACCCAAGAGATAAGCTTGTCCGTCACTATTCATCAGTTTGAGTTAAATAAGAATGCCACCTGACCATCTTATGAATGGCAAAGCATCGGTTCTAATAATCACAATAAAATAAATCAAGTTATGAAAGTCTTACCTACATTACCTTTTTGCGAGATTTCATTAATAATAAAAAAAAAAAAACATGAATAACATCGTCTAAAGAAATCTTGTTCATTAGTTCTGACTTATTCACAAAAGAGCAACGATCGACTTTGAGCTAAGAAAAGTTAAAAAGGCGTTTAACTTTTTATGGCTTAAAGTCGATCGTAAATAGTTTTTAAACCGCTTTAGGCAAGAAAAGCTTTCAAACGAACAACTAATCGCTGGTGTGCCATGCGAAGTGCAATATCCAAGTTTGGATAAATGTTTTCCAAATTCTGTTTTCGCAGGATTAAAGAAAGCATTTTTAAATATCCAGAATCTAGGATTATCGATTTTTTTTCCGAAGAAAGATTACATTGAAAGTGTATGTATCCTTAACTAAGATTCCAAATCATTGAAATACATTTTTCCAAGGAAATGGCTTCCGTCAGGGTCGATGGTAATCTCCATTTATTTTCCTTAGAAATGAAAACTCTCGATGTATTCGTTATGAGCTTCCCGCTGTTTTTCTAACTCAGGCACGAGTCTATTTATGAGGACGAGAAACGTGTTAACCTTGAAAGTTTCACTCGCAGTCATTCTAATACCTTCTTCGGATGTTTCTGATTTCTGTTTTTAATGTCAAATACCTATATAACCAAATCTATTTGTAGATAGAATATTGAAACCGGCCGTTAGCGAACGATCATATAGAAATAAAGAATGAAATTTGTTTAAAATCACAAAGAAAAAATTAATCCATGCAAAACAAAAGTAGGTACTTACATTAAAATTATAAATATTTGGCTATTATAATACATTTAGATAGAAAGTGCGATGTTAAATTGGTGTTCTTCACTCGGTTCTTGTTGCATTCATTTATATCATTTATTCCCGCATCGCAATCCACACAAACTTTTTAAACACAATAATTCGCCCCAGCCTCCGAGCACGGCGAGACCAACACAACGCGTACTCAAGGTACACCCACGTTTCAGGGCGGTTCTCACCGCCCCCAGCCACCGATTAGCTAAAAACACAGTCTAAATTTCATCCACACCACCTTGATGTCCAGCGTTCCACAACAGCGCGATTTTCAAGGCATTACTTGCCTCGCACAAACACTCTGTGGAACCAACTGCCGCCGGCGGTCTTTCCGAACCGTTACGAACTGGGAACCTTCAAGAAGAGAGCATACTCTTTCTTAAAAGGCCGGCAACGCATTTGAGAGCCCTCGGGTGTTGCAGGTGTTCATGGGCGACGGTAATCACTTACCATCAGGTGAGCCTCCTGCTCGTTTGCCCCTTTTCTCCATAAAAAAAAAAATGAAAATACATCATGAATTACATTACCATTTTGTATAGAATTGATCAACTCTTTAACAACAGTGATCGCCATCTCTCGTGCCATTTCACATAATTATGAAGTGTATGTTCGAAGTTTTACTTAACTTATTGCAATCAATACTACACCATTTTATATACATATGTGCTAAAGTTTAATAGTTCATAATAGAATCGTTCAAGAGGAAGAGCATTAAGTCTCCCAAAACATAAACACCATCAATGCCAGATCTGTCGTTTACCTATAGCACTCATCGAGCTGAGAATATTCGTAAGAACATCTCTAGCGGATGGTTGCACTCCATTATAACAACATTTTTAAAAACATAACGCCTCCCAAGCAGAGCTCTCTGTACGGTCATAACAGACCTGTACTTGTGTTCATGACCGATACCCTGGTACAACTGAAGTTTTTTTTTATGTAAGAAAGTTGCAAATGTGGTGACAGCTCACCTGATATAAAGTGATAACCACCGCCCATGGACATTTGCAACACCCGCAGGGTTGCAAATGCGTTGCCACCTTTAAGTAAAGTGGGCCCCGGCTACCTCACTCACCAGACGAAACGCAGAAATGTAATTCTACTTTACGCCGGTCTTTTGTGAGGTCGTTGTACTTACCCGGACGGACCTGCCCATTCGTGCAACTGTGAACACTGTTGCGTTACCCTACCACAGTCTAGTCGCTACTAATCTTGTTTAAAAAGGGGAATTTATCGAGGAATAACCAAGTAAACGAGTTTAATAAATTAGTGCCTAACGCTAAATACCATTAATATTTACAGAGATCGCGAATGTTGCCTATAAACCACAACATTTTATTACAAATAAAGTTCTAGAATCTATAAATGTACAAATTCTATTTGGTTAATTTTCATAGGTCGTTTCCTTGAACAGAAGCTACATTCGCTAATTTCGCTTTAATTTGAAATTAATGAAACGACGAAGGAAATCGTTCTTGGCAGTAGTCCTTTTTGGCAGTGGTCCTTCTGGGCTGTGGTTTATCTGGGCAGTGGTCCTTCTGGGCTGTGGTTTTTCTGGGCAGTGGTCCTTCTGGGCAGTGGTCCTTCTGGGCAGTGGTCCTTCTGGGCAGTGGTCCTTCTGGGCAATGGTCCTTCTGGGCAGTGGTCCTTCTGGGCAGTGGTCCTTCTGGGCAGTGGTCCTTCTGGGCAGTGGTCCTTCTGGGCAGTGGTCCTTCTGGGCAGTGGTCCTTCTGGGCAGTGGTCCTTCTGGGCAGTGGTCCTTCTGGGCAGTGGTCCTTCTGGGCAGTGGCCCTTCTGGGCAGTGGTCCTTCTGGGCTGTGGTCCTTCTGGGCAGTGGTTCTTCTGGGCAGTGGTCCTTCTGGGCAATGGTCCTTCTAGGCAGTGGTCTTATTGGGCAGATAACTCATAATAAACGGTTACATAAAAATAAGTAAATGAAATAAGGCAACAAAATGTGAATTAATATTTTGTTATAATTATTAAATAGAATGTTATTTTATTTAGATATATTGGAACGTGCAGATAAAATTGTCAAAAATTAGCGCCGCTGCCAATCATACGTACGTAAACGTAAACGTAGTGGTTACATTCTCTTTGCTGCCAATTTCGAGCACAGCCGTTTACGTTTTTCCACGTCTGATGTGCTTCCTTTACAGAAAACCAATTTTTCAATGAATATTTCAAAAGTATAGATTTCTCTATTGCTGTTGAAACTTAATTTTTGGCAGAATTCGAACTTGCGCTTTCCGGATTAAATAATCTTTATCAGAAATCAGACATTTTTTAAATCGTGATCTGTGTGTACGATTTTTAGGTACGATAGGTACTAATAAATTGCAACAAAAACTTGTATAGTGTAATTTAAAGTTATTATCACCTTTGTTGTTTTTGTTTTTTTTTTTGGTTCGGGGGGAAATCTTCAAAAGATACCCTGCATCGGGCAGCAGCCCGAGACCACTTCGTGCTGCTGCCAATCCGTGTCCCCTTTTAGTCGCCTTTTACGACAGGCAGGGGATACCTTAGCTCTATTCTACAAGCCCGAGACGGGTCGGCTCGTCCATTTCTACCGACCCGATGTCTTCGCCTCCGAGCGGAGTCGGCCCTCTCCCGTTCCCGCTCAGCGGTCTCCTTCTGAAGCATAACAGCTTCGCAGAAGGAGACCAGTGCCATCCAAGCGGATTTCTCCATCGGCGCAGCCGCCACTGCAACAGGTGGAGATAGGTCCTGCCCGATCTTTTGGACCAAGATCCGACGCTCTGACTCCCACGCGGGGCACTCAGCAAGCGTGTGCTGCGCGGAGTCCCGGTCCCCACCACAGTGGTGGCATTGCGTTGTCGATTCGCGTCCAATTCTATTTAAGTACTCACCAAAGCATCCGTGCCCGGTGAGTACTTGCGTCAGACGAAAGGTGACGTGCGCAAATCCCCTCGCACTAAGCCAGGCTTCGAAGCTTGGCAGGAACGCAGTGACAATCAGTTGGCGCGAGTTCTGAGGTTCTCCCAAGCGCTCGCGCCAAATTTCAAACCCCCTTGTACACTCCTGCTCCCGCACCTCTCCCGCATCCAGGGGCTCGGTGTCATCCTGGGGTAACCGAAGGCGAGTATAAACACGCGCATCTATCTCCGCCAGGATGTCCAGTGGTGGAAACCGAGCTAGGATAGTGGCCGCCTCAAAGGATATCGTTCGATAACCTCGTGCGATTCTGATGGCCATTCTCCGCTGCAGGCTATAAAGTTTAGCTCTGCAGCGGCGGACGCTCGTTAGCCGGTGGAACCATACGTGCGCACCGTAGAGGGCCATCGACCCCCGCATAGAGGCGGCGAACTCCTTCCCCGGGGCCCCGAGATTAGGCAGTAATTTGTGTAAGGCACCTACTACCTTCTCTATACGGGGGGCCAAGCGGTTGAAGTGCTCCTCGAAGCCCCAGCGACTTTCCAGAGTGAGACCAAGATATTTCATCACTGGTCTCACTGGGATCTGCACGTCACCCACGCGAACCGACCAGCTGGGTGGATCCCTTCCTCTAGGAAGTTTGTGGAACCAAAGCGCCTCGGTCTTATGAGGCGCTATCCGAAGACCCAGCTCATGGATTTTGCCCACAACGCAAGCCACCCCAAGCTCAGCGAGCCAACTGGTGCTGTCGGAGCTACCCCCGTCGGCCAATACTAGAGTGTAGTCTGCATAGCAGATAACACTTACACCGACGGGGAGAGCAGTTCGTAGGACGGCGTCATATGCGAGGTTCCAAAGTAATGGCCCTAAGACGGACCCCTGTGGAACCCCGCAGTTCACCTCCCTATAACTAACGCGTCCCGACCCACGTACTGAATGCACCTGCCGTGCAAGTACGCCCCGATAATACGCTGCAGATAGGCGGGTACCTGGTGTTAGGTCAGTGCTTCCCTGATTGTACGCCAGGGTAATGAATTGAGGGCATTGACGATATCTAAGCTGACCGCCAATGCCACACCATCCTGGGTAACAGCCCTCTGCGACTGGTCTCGGACGCAAAGGATTGCGTTAACAGTTGACCGAGCCTATCTAAAACCATACTGGCTATCCGATAGGTCGGGGCCTACCTGACGTAGGTGCATTTTGGGGCGGTCGGCAATAATTCTTTTAAATAGTTTGCCCGCCTCATCCAGCAAACAAATAGGTCGGAACGCAGAGGGAGCGTCAGCAGTCCTTCCATCCGTCTTCAATAGCACCAATTTGGCCTCCTTCCACCGTGAGAGAAAAACACCGGCTCTGAGACAGCTGTTGAAGAGTCGCCTCAGTCTCTCCCAGTCTCCCTCCCAGTCCGGCGGCGAGAGCTAGCACCCACACCCGACCATGAATACCATCAGGGCCTGGTGCGTTGTTCCGGCTTCGAAGCCGTTTAATGGCCCGGTCCATCTCGTTCTGAGTGACTCCCAATCCATCAGACCAATCGGTCTCATTCATAATTATGGTTGGGTGCTCAGGGTTTTCCTGGGTTAGGGGGAAGAGCGTGGCCCACGATAAGTCCACAATCGATTCCCCCTGCCACCGCACACATGTACTCACAGAACCTCGATTTAAGAGACGGAGGTCTAGTCCTGCCGCCCACCCCTGCAAGGTTTCTCCCCTTGCACTGTCCCGTGTGGACCCCCAAGCTCTAGAATGAGCGTTGAAGTCTCCCAGGACAAGAACAGGTCGACGTAGGCATGTGCGGATGCAGCCACCTACTTGATCTAGGTACGCCTCATATGCAGCAAGGTTGCAATTGGGAGAGATGTAGCAACCTACTACAATTAGCCTACTACATCGTAAGCTCAGCGATTTGGGAACGCAATTCGGCGTTCTCGCGCTCCAACCTTTCGACACTTGTCGCTTGGCGTTTCGGCTCCGGGGCTTTTAGTTCTCCTGGAGACTGTTGTTTTGCCTTCCTCCGTTTTCTGCTCACTTGAGAGGCCGTTGATTTAGCCGAAGCAACCGACATGATGGAGGAGTCCGACTCTGCTCCTTCGCTTCTTATTTCTGGAGCAGCTAGGCCCCGTGCAACAAGACGTCCCGTCTTTGGGTCACGAACTGCCGAAACAGTTCCAGAGCCACTTTCGCTCACAGCACTTTCTTTTCCTTCCGCGTTTTTATTAAAGGTTCTAGTTTTCTTCATTGCAAATCACACGAGTATGGGGGAATCATTCAGTCTGTCCAGGCAGTGCCCTCCTGTACCTGGATAAGCCTACATACACCCAGGGGTCGGCCGGTGCCTGGGGTCGAGTAGCAGTAGTGATTGACAACCCCTCCACCATGCATCTCTTCGCGCTGCTCTCACCGCTAGAGATTGGGGGTTTTTTATAGAGGCAAGGCCCTCGTTCCCGATCAAAGTCGCGAGACATGACCACAGCACTTTGACCAGGCTTACGAGTTCCACGCGCATTCCCGCGTCGTGGTCGACGGTGGAGACGAGACCGTAGTCGTATCGCCCGCTCAGTGACAGGGTTGGTGAACACAAAGCCCGCCCTTGCTTCTCTAGTATGCCTTCTGCTGGTCAGAGGGACACCTGGAGAAACGCCCACCCGTCAGATTATTAGCTACCAGTCAGTGGCCACAAAGGCCACAAAGGCCACTGGCTGGTACCCGGGGTGCACCACGAGGAGGTTATCTGACAAAGCACCCCAAACTTATTCTCACCTACCAATATACAGTCTTGGCCAAAAGAATTAAGCACCCATTATATCATAAATTTTCGAGTAATGTTACGACAAAATAAATTAAAACAATTTAATACAGGTTCCCATGATTACTTATTCATGTAAATTTTAGGTCCACCCTTTGCCTTAATTACTGTAGAAATTCGTTTCGCTCTACCGAAAGCTTTCAAGCTCAAGCAAGCTTTCTATAGTCTGCAGGAACTATTGCGTTCCATTCTTGTCGCAATTGGAGTTTTAGCTCTTCTTTGGTGTCTTAGTGTGGCGCCTGACTTTTTGATTTAATAAACTCTATAAATGATCTATGGAGTTCTGGTCTGAAGACAGCAGGCAACTTAAGAAGGAATGAAGTTGTATCTGAACCATGCGGGCTGCTTTATTGCACGGCGCCTTATCCTGTTGGAATATATCGCCATCTGTGTCGTATCACCAAAAAAGTTTTGAAAATAAGGGCATGAACGCTGATTCGAGGTTATTTATGTATTTTGTTGATATGTACTCTACAAAATACATAAATAAGCGAACTCCTCGCCAATTCTAGAGTCCGTCATAAAGCCCTAAAGCATAATGTTGTCTCCGCCGTGTTGTACAGTAGGTGCCACACGCTGGATTAAATACTTCGCTTTCTCGCAGAAAAGTCATACCGGGTGTACCAAAAATCTGAAAAACAGAATGAAAATGTAGAGATTTAGTCAAATCAAAATATTTTAGCATTGCATTTTATTTCGAAGTCATAGTGTTTTAAGGCAATTAATTCGACTCACTAACCTCAAAGGTTGATTCCTCTGACCATACGATATTTGACCAATCTTCTTCAGTGTAGGTAACTATGGTATTTTTAGGTCCATTAATACCGAGCCTTTTAGATCTTATACGAGAGCCAAGGTTTCTTTCTAGCTTTACTACCTTTCAAACCAGCTTCCTGAAGTCTTCTAAGGACGGTTCAAGTAGAAATTGGCCTATTAATTTCTAATGATAAATCGGCAGCGAGATTTGAACAAGTTTTTTCCTATTTTTTAACGACTATCTGAGTATCTTTCGATCCTCACGGTCTGTAGAGATGCGTTTGGTCCCGCTTCTGGACTTTTTATCATGTGCTCCGGCAGCCGCGAATCGTTGAATAGTATTTTGCGCAGATCGGCGAGAACATTTCACAGATTTTGAAATACTTGTGATAGATTACCCTTCGTTATGTAAAATTTGAATTTGCACCAGATGTTTTATACATATTACGGCCTGGTTAATTAGTTTTTATGACTACTTAGGGATCAAATAGTTAATCCATATAAAACCTATTATTATATTTTTTGTTCCTGACACTTTTTTGTTGATGATGGCTTCGGCGTTGGGGGTCGTGGGTTCGATTCCCACACGGGACAACTATTTGTGTGACCCACAGACAGTTGTTTCGCATCTGGGTGTTTGTCCATGTGAAATTTATGTTTGTAAAACATCCTTACAACTGAGGATATTTATACTAAAGTTAGGGCAATGTTTCAAAAAAATACTTAAAAGAAAGAATTTATAGGGTGCTGTACATCATATGTTTGATAATGTTTTCGTAATATTATTTAATAAAACATAAAAAATGAAAGAAAATACATTTTTTAAATCAAATTTATTTTAGTTGAACCTGAATGAAAGAATGTTTTAAACAATCTGATGCAGACAATCTTTGTTTTTCATCCACCATAAGCATCTTATCCAAGAAATCTTTCAAATGCAAAAGTTTTTTTTCTTCAGGGGGGGACAATTTTCTAAAACATTTCTTTAAGTCATGCAGAAGGTCCCTACTAACACTTATGTTACTAATTTCAACAACCTTCTCTCGTTCTGTCACTTTGTCTACTTTGTGTAAAAGGAAATTGTTTTTATAGTTGAAATGTTGGTCTTTAAATTTACCTTTCCTTAATAATTTACTAGGAATTTTACCCTTCAAGTCCATGAAGCATTTTAACATTTTATTATTAGATCCTCCAGTAAACAGTATTGTACTTGTTGCCATTTCATATATTGTACATGCAGTAGACCAAATATCCACCCCATAACTGCATGGTATTCCTAAAATGATTTCTGGCGCTCTATAAAACCTTGAAACAAGATAAGGTGTTGGCACATTTTCATGGATGTATGTTGCCGAACCAAAATCACATAGCTTTAACAGATTCTTTTTTTCATTAACCAAAATGTTATCAGGTTTAATATCGGCATGTATGATTCCAATCTTCATCAAAAGTTTTAATGCTAGAAGTAATTGTCTACTGTAACTCATTAAAGCTTTCAAACTGATACCATTATGTTTGCCATATTTCTTTAAAACTCTTCTCATATCCATGTAATAAGGCTCTAATACCAGACATAGGTGTCCTTTGTGAATGAAATTCCACAACAGTTTTATACAATGATAT